ATATACCTTGATTCAAATATAATCTGATCTGTTTGCATCCCTACCAAACCATTTGCCTACGATGACCTAATTAATTAAATTATTGAACCATTTGACATAGTTAGTCGGGTCATGTATTAGACATTAATGCTCTTTATTTTTTATCCCATTTCTATCATTAATGGATATAATTCTCGTTAATCACACTTTTTTATATGATGAATATACAATATTATAGAATGCACCCAAATTTATTGACAAATTTCTACATTTTCTAGAATTTTATGTATTTTATTATTTAATAATAACATTATGTGCTAATCCATTTGACATGGATAGTTTAATCACTAACCCACCACTTGGATGGAAAAACCATTTTGCTTTTTCAGTTAATTTTAAATCATGTCTTCCATTTTCATCATCAATAAAAGTAATTCTTATTTTCACATTTATTTTGTTTAATATGATGAATATATAACAATAGAACTGTATCAAAATGCTTTACACAAAACTTATATTATATATATATATATATATATATATATTCACTACTTAGTTATGACATCATAGATTGACTCATTTGACCCAAAATGTTAGATCTTTGACATACCTACCATCTACATATGAAAATGGTTTCATTTTCAAATTGGTTTTAAATTTTGCATTTCATTTATATCATTGATAAAATAATTATTATTTGTCATACTTATTTTTGTTTATATTATTAGTATATAATATTATAGATGTGCCCAAAATTTTTCATATCTTTTGTACTATTTTATTTAAAAAATTATTTTTAATTATACATCATGTGTCAACCTATTTGACCAAGAAGGTTGAACTACTAACCCAACCCCTAGATAGGAAGATGGTTTAATTTCGCATTGGTTTTAAGTTGTATATTTGATTTCCATCGTTAATAAAATTGTCTATTTTATCATACTTATTTTTTAATATGACAAATATATAATAATAGAAACGTGTCCAATTTTGTTTCAAAATGTTTTCTATATTTTTTATATTTCTAAACTTATATTATTTATTTATGACATCATGAAATTATCCATTTGACCCAAATGGTTGAAGTATTTATTCACGACCTAGATGGAAAATATGATTTCATTTCTAGGTTTATTTTAAAATATAAAATTTCATTCTATTAATAATTATTGTGTATGGATTTATTAGTGGAATTTAATACTGATAAACAAAAGTATTTTTTATATTTCTAAATTTGTATTATTTATTTATAACATTATGAAATTATCTATTTAACCCAATGGTTGAACTACTTACCCACCACCTAGATGAAAAATATGATTTCATTTCTATGTTTATTTTAAAAATATAAAATTATATTCTATTAATAATTATTGTGTATAGATTTATTAGTGGAACTTAATAATGATAAACAAAAGTATAAATGCTAGATTCAATGAGAGAGAATGTGATATATTTAATGATTTAAATGTGAGGTAATTGAATGTACTTAATGGTATTCTTTTAATTACATTTTCTGCCCTTTCAACGGAAATAAACTAAATTCAAGAGGAAGAATATTTTAGTAAAGAAGAATTCCAGAAGCCAATACCTCATCATTCACACTTTTATAAGTAGTATAGGTAGATAAGAATTAGTAGCAAACAACTCTTTGTTTTCTTTGGCCCGTAGACAACGAGTTCTCTATTGGCTCTTTCTAGTTAATATGGAACACATCTCCAAGGAGTTGTGATTTCCTCCTCACATCTCGTTGCAGCTGCAATGTTTTCATTCGTGGGGAGATGTTCTCAATGCATGGCTGCAACTGTTGTAAAGAGGATTAGCAACCCCAACCCCAAAAATAAAAAAGCCTAAAGTCTTGAGCTTGAAACCAGCCCGAAGACTGAAAATCCAAGCTCAAACATGTGTAAAATTTCAGTCTGGATCAATCTATCAAATCTGTATTAATACTAGTCTAATCTGTTCTAGTTTTTATATTAAAATGATTTGATCTGTTATGAGAATTTTTAAGACCATAATTTTTCTTGTTTAATTTGGTATTAGATTGTCTTCAAACCAGACCGGACTGGACACACTCCTACTCATAACCTCCTTCACTAAAATTAATGCAAAACGTCTTTCAGTTCAGGTTAAATGACTTTAGATCTGTTTAGGCTGTCCGCCTGTTTTGGGTTGGATTGGGGGCTCGTGCCTGTTTTGCTGTGTTCCTTCTCATTTTCTTGTTCTCTCCAAACTTAATCATTTTAAATTTTACTTGCAAAAAGCCCTACTAAAAACAAATTAATAAAAGTAAAACCCCAAAAGAAAACTTCATCAACTCATAACTCAGCTTCACGATCATAACTAAGCTTCACGAGTGAAGAGAATTTTTATTCTTCACGAAAAATTGGAAATTTGATAGACCGGATTATGTCATCTTTAATTAAAAAAAAGATTATTTCATCCTTCTTTTTTCATTTTAAGCATTTTTAGAATTTAGTCCCTCTCATATTTGTTTTATTGATTGCCCAAATGTATTTCCCTTGAATTGGGAATCTTTCCCCCCTGGACAATGACCCTTCTTTTTATTTTCTAAATTTAATTAGGTAATTTTGATGATTTCTTTGCTCCGATCCGTTGCAATCTATCCTCTAACACAAATTTATTGAGCTTGTGGGTTTTAGACAGAAATAACTTAAGTGACTGCTTATTTTGATCAACATGGAAGATTTCTCTAATTCATTTTGGGAAGTGTGTAAATAAAAATATGTTCAATACAAATACAAGGTTTAGAAATATTATTTGCAGTTTTGCCCTCTTTTCAAATTGAGCTTGTTACATTTGAAAAGAATGCAAATACAAATGTGCAAGTTTCAGGAAAATGATTATACTGAATATATTTGTATTTGTATTCTTAGGGGGTGTTCGTTTTTTGGATTTTGAGAAGGGGAAAAGTTAGCCAATAGGATTTTAATTCCTATTGACCAAGAAACCTATGTTCTTTTATGTGGGGATTAGGAAAAGTTTATTTTTCTGGGTATCACTTATACCCATCTCCTAAATGGGTAAATAACTTTCTCACCTAGGGGGAATGTTACTAGCACTTGAATGGGACAAAAATGTCATTTTTAATAATAAATTTTATGGCTAAAATAGGCATTGCCTTATGTACCTAAGAAATAAAAGAACATGAATAAATGCACTTACTGGAGTAAATCTTTCTTGAGAAACACTCACCCAAGTTAATGCATTTACTTAAATAAGTAACTTACCGAAAAGCGAACAGGGGCTTAGACTCAGATTGGAAAGAGTATAAATATAAATATATAAAATACAAATACATACGAAATAATACAAAATATAAATATGCACAATACAAATACAAAGTTTTGCACCCTACATATTAATATTTTTGTATTCTTTTCAAAAAGTGAGCCTTAAGTTACTGTTTATTTCTTATTTACATCGTTTTTGCTCTTATTCTCAGCGAAAAAGCCTTAGTGTGCTTTTTTAACCCATATTTGACGAAAGGGGGAAACAAAAACAATGATGGAGAGTGGTTGGTTTGGGTGTTGCAACAAAAGACGAACCAATCATGCTGAGACTTGCCATCGTGATTTATTGCAACTTGCAAATGAAAGACAAAGAGAGATGCAAAGTGATTGCGGTTTGGGCGTTGTAACAAGAGGCAAACCCGAAAACGACTTATAACTGCAAAACTCCCCATAGTGAAGTAAGAGAAACGTCAAAATTTTGCAAATGAGAGAGAGTTTATTGCAGAAGTAAGAGAAAGAGGGAAAGAATGAATTTGTTACAAAAATAGCGTGAGAGGAAGAAAGCAAGTGTGAGGAATAGGAATGGTCTTGGGGCGATTCAGTCCTAAAAAACGTCAAAATTTTATTATGCACACTGTCTTAATAGTTACTCATGGATGCATGTCTTGTGAAAAATGGCAATCATATAGCAGAACCCAACATAGACACTATCTTGAAGGTATGTATGAAGTAGCAGTGGTCTAGTATTCCATCCTCATTACCTCATTATAATTAATTAAGTTTCATCCCAAAGTATGGGTGGGCCTGTGTTTCTTCACACTTCAAGTCCAATGGGCTTTCGTATGAGGGGGCATATTAGAGAATATCAACCTATTCAAAAACCTCACCTAATGGTTTAAGCTTTTAAATTGAATAATTCTTTGAGAGCTTACAATGAGTTTTATGCAATTCCTCATTTTGTTCTTATATTCAATTGAGTTCCTCATTTTTATCTTTAATAATTAAACTAATAATTTTATTCTAAAAGCTTATAATTCTTGCTAAAGAGTCTCTCTCCTCCATCTAACATTGCATTTACTTCCAGATCACCTGCCAACAATATGCATTCCAACAGCCTACCAACATGATCTAACACTACACATCTCATACATGGTGGGTCCCAGTCTCATGGTGAGATGTGTAGTGTTAGGAGATCCCAGTTATTCATTAATATTTGGGTTTCACTCAAATTTATCTGTTGAATTTATGTCAGATTTGAATTGAATTTGGATTGCAATAGGAAATTGAACGTACATCATTAATAACTCGTACTAAAAAAATGACCAAAATATATATTATTAATTAATAATATAAACTAATTAAAAATGGATTTTATATTACTTATACATCATTTGAAACTGTTTACCAGTCAGGAAAAGTATAAGAGAATCCCCAAAAAAAAGTGGTTTAGGGGAATACCAAATAAAAACCCTTATTAATGTTATTACCATCTGAAACTACCACAAACCAAATTCAATGGATGCATAGGCACATGATCATTCCACTTTTCCATTAAGGGAAGCTTAGTTTTCAATCAGAATTAATAACGCATTATTGATCACTTCTTTTCATTGCTATAAATCAAAAGGAAGATGAAGCACCAACTCCACCACCACCACCACCACCGTGATCAAATATTGCGCATTTCACAATATTGATCGATCAATCATGGGTTCTTCCAAAATTTCTAACTTGCTCGTCATTTCCTTGTTCTTGGCCCTGTCAATGATGACGACTGGTGTTAGAGGTATGTACCATGTTTACGTTTACAATATGTTGGGAGAAAACGAAAATCTCTGGGTTCATTGTTCATCCAAAGATGATGATCTGGGGATACATTTGGTGCCCTATCAAAGCGACTTCCATTGGAAGTTCAATGTTAACATCTTCAGGACTACGCTTTTCTCCTGCGACTTAGCAAAGAAGACGGTCAGTGGCCATTTCGTGATTTTTAATGCCAAGAGAGATGATGGTAATTGCAAGGATGACCAGTGCATCTGGCACGTTAAGAAGGATGGTATATATTTCTACAATGCCTTTGCTATGAGGGATGAGTTGAAGTTTCGCTGGCCATGAGTACTAAATGACTGATAAGTTGCAGAGTTTACCAATATAATACAGCAAATTAAATAAGAATTTAGTAGTTCATGTTAAGCAATAAGCACCACAGATCAATTTAGTAGTTCTGTTATTCAACTAATTATTAATGTTGTATTGTTGTGATAATATTGTTGATGCATGGTGAGAAGCTGGATATGTAATTGTTTCATCTGTTGAATGAAATTAAATTTGCCTGATGAAGACTACTTTTAATAAATTGTTGTTCTTGTTGTGTTTAATTCCTATATATTGTTTTAATTTAAACTATAGCGTTGGCCTGTTTGACAAGTCTTTTTGAGAAAATTTTCTTGTAGCTCTGACAGTCAAAAAACGTATTGAGCTTTTGATATAAGATCTGGGCAGCCCAAAAATAATTTGGCAGATGCACGTCTTTCTGTGCGCCTTTCCCCGTCTTCCTGTGCGAATATAAAACGTAAAAGACGCGAAAAGCTTCATTTGGAGCTTCCCAAAATCAGCCCAAAATGGGCTTTTTGCGTCTTTTCGGCATTCCGTATTTTGGCGGTTAGATCCTCCGCATGCCAAATGGAAATAGACTGAATTTCGATCTACTCAGCTTGTAAACAGCAAAAAACCACGCAGAAAGATACACAAACGCCCCTAAATTAATGAATCCATCATCTCCCATGGTCAGACATGGAGGGTTGTTTTCTTTATGATCTTTTGGGGTTATTCTATACCCTTTTTTCTAGTGCAACATGCAACATTGGAAGTCCATACACTTAAATTTCCGCACCTCAATCCTGTGAGGGAGGAGCACAATAGCTCTTTTGGGCACCTACATAAGGGCATACTGCCCAAAGTGAGATTGGTACCTTAAATCATCAAGGGCACTCTAGTTCACTTGCTCTCTTATCCCTTTAGCTTATACAGTTAGCTCTGCTCATCCAATGCAGCTTAGCCTAATTGACCTCCCCATTTTTGTTACTGACTTCAGCATCAAAGTGCTCCTCTCTAGGGATCTGATCCACTTTGGGGTTTCTGAGTATTTGTATTTAACTCATCAAATCCAACTTAGGGTCCATTTGGTTCGTAACCGGAATCGAAATCGGAATGGTCCATTCCTGGCATCTATTTGGTTCAGTCATCCTGCTGTTTGGTTCAAGTAGAAGCTGGAATCAGAATCAACCAAAGTTTTCAATTCTGCCCTTGTTAAAAGAACCTCAAAAACATCCACTAATTATATATTTTCAACATATACACACATTGGCAGCCTGCTACCAAGTGCATATATGAAGAAAATATGAAATAAAGAAAAGAAAAACACATAAACAAACAAAAATCACAAAAAATATCATTCTCCATAAAAAATGAAAAGAAAAATACATAAATAAACAAAAATCTCTCATAATGGCTTCAGTTGCATGCTCAACATCCTGTCAACAACAAACATGTTATTGTGGATATAAAATCAATATATATCTCAGCTTTTGTGGGAAATTAATATGCTATTATATATGGAAATTAGTATATTTCATTGTGGTTAAAATGTCAAATATCATTTAGGGTTTCTACTCATGCTGACTCAGAATTTTGTTGTAATTCTCCAAAAAGGCAATCGACCTCAATTACTTTCTTGTAGTTATTAAAACTTTAGCAAAGAAAAAAGCTACTTTAAAATATAAAGGAAACTATTACTTGGTAAAAACTAGTTCCAGAACCATAAATGTAGTAATTTTTGCTTCTTTTATTCATTTGAGTAGGATATAATTTTCAGAGGTCGAATTCAAGAATCAAGAACTGCTTTATTAGTCCATCACACTCTTCCTAAGCATGAAGTAGTCCTTTAATAGTCAACTTCCTCCACTCAAGACTGAAAACAACAATGAATTTGGGCAAATATTCACAAGTCTTGAGACTTAAGAGAGATGAGGTCAGTGGGGGGAGAAAAACCATATCATGGTTGCATCAAAACCCCAAAGTCATCTTTAAGGCGACAAACAAGAGGTGTCATCAATAAAGGAGGCAACTGTGGCTTGCATGGTTGGGGTCATCGCATATCAGCAACCTCATTTTCTGGTGCCTGGGTAAGGTCACCCTGGGTCCACCTCAGCATCTCCAATGCAACCCTAGGCTGATCCATAGGGACCATGTGACCGGCATCATGAACCTGTTCCACCACACAACCATAATATAAATCAGTTTATACAGTTGAGACACATGCTCCACTTACAGATAGATATTTCTAATAGTTATCTGGGTGATGAAGAGTTGTGGCTGGACCTTGAGGAAACTAAGAGGCCCATAGCTTTTCAACAGTCCTGCTTCTTCACCAACGACTATAAATGGAGTAATATGAGATGCTATAAATTCTTGCTGACCAGACCATTCCATGGCATGGACCCACCTAGAGTTCCCTGCACAATATACATAAACAGCTTTTAACTGACATTCTTAATGAACAATAAGTGTGCTGTCAAGTAATGAAAAGGATGACTTGTTATCTCAAACCAAGAAACTTACCAATGCAGTTGCATATGAGATCAGATTCTCCAGCATAAATAAGTAACTTGATTCCATCTTCTAGAAGAGCAGGGATACCAACTTCCAGATTTCTCATCCAGTCCATCATCTTGGCCTGATAGACAGTAGGGCTACATGATACAAATTAAATGTCCCAAACTCCAAGAGCTTCCCTTACACAATGTTTTCTCCAAAAGACCCAACACAATAACCACCTATCCTTACACATGAGGGATTCAAAGTATAGGAACGGTTAAAAATAACACATAGAGGTTCAGTCACTGAGCCAGTAGTAGTCCTTGAAAGCAGTGAAATAAGGAAAAAGAAGTTGACAGAGAAGTCCTCGTCCCTTCTGAATATGACGATTACGTCTTTTTCTTCTCCATAAATCGATTGATGTGAGCCCCCATATGGTATATATGTACTCCCTAAAACTACACTGCTGTTGCTAGTGTTAATAAAATAAAGAAAAGAAAATAAAAAAAACCCAACTCAAATCAGTATACATACAGTGCAGAGAACTCTTGTTCCAAATTAAATTCAATAATTAGGTAAACCAAGACATGCATTAATTCATGTATTACCAAAGAAAAAAAAGATATGCATTCATGTAGTAGACACATTAAATACAAGGAGACACAGTACTGGAGCCTAAATTAAACCCCAGCTGAATCAGTTCATAGGTACTCGATTGTGTATATAACTGGCCTAAATTCAAGCCCCCCTCCATCATCTGATGAGTCTAATCCGAGATCTTCGAATCCAGAGTCAACCAGATCATGATTGAATTAAACTTTGTAATTTCTGGTAGATCTCTGCTCAGATACGGAGACTCTAAACCCTCTTATATATACAGCTTGTCCCTGTCCTCATGACACACTAGACTAGGACTTCTCTTATATAAGCCTATACTAGGGCTCTGAAGAAAGATAAAGACAAGACAAGAAGACTACTGTTGATCATGGTACACGTCTTGAAATTGAAGAATTAAGAGTAAAGCTAAACTAATAACAATGGGAAATAAAGGGCAGAGAGGGGATAATGTGAGTGAATCATGCAAAATAAAAAGTACAGTGAGTTACATGTCAAAATGCTAGACCTAGTATTGAAAACTAAAATCCAAAGGCATCCTAGAGCATAATTGAGTGAATGTCTCAAATATGAAAATCAACAAAACAACTTCGAAGAAAGAGGATTCACCTTCTTCTTCCCCAACCATCACGTGTTTCTCTTTCTGCAATAGTGGCAAATGCCAACTAAACAGGACTAAATAATCAACAATACCACCCTAATACATGTATTTCCTTGCTCTAGTCAGCTTTACCATGCACCCTAATACATGAAGGGGTTATAATATCCTCAAGGCACCAGGACAATTGACCTGGCTCTGCCCTTAGCTTTACCATGCTGCAATAGTTTTCTTGTGTCTCTTGCTCTCCATTGTTGAAAACAATGTTTCACTATTGCTAGTTTTGTTTGGCTTTCATGTACCTGATCACACACTTACAGATTAAACTTGAGCATCATTATCAGCGTGGCTGGCATTAATTGTTAGTGAGGAAGAGGTAACCTGCATCCAGAGGATTAGATTGTGATGAAATTGAGTTTCTAAACCTCAGGATGCAGATTACCCAGTCCTAACCCAACAAAAAGAAGGTTTGCTATAGAGCTAGCTAGCTGCATGGAAGAGGTTGATGCGCTCATCATGTAGTAGTGTCTTGGCAAGCAATTTATAATGGTAGATAAAGTTACAGAGTTGGGAGTTATGGAGGGGCATTTCTCCAAGTAGCTTGATGTTGGTATGGTCTAATTAAAGAGGCAGCTGCATAAAGTATAAAGCCAAGATAAGGTCCTCTGAGCAGAATCATCAATCAACAGAGATGATTTTGTTCTCTCCTAACAATGACAGGGTTTGTGATGACGACCTCCCTTTCAGTTGACAAGATGTCATGTCAATTTAAATCTGTCCACACAACTATATGACCATGATGGTGATAATAAAAGAAAGAAACAACATCTACATGTTACATGTATATATATTCAGTAGTACGTCGTGCATGCATCTCGATGATTAGTGATGTGATTGGAGAGGGTGATCATTGTTGCCCCATGTCACTTAAATATATATATATATAAGCACTCTCAGTGCCTGAGATATATAGTGTGAGATATTCTCCATTTCTACTCCTAGCTAACTTATTTCTCACAATGCAGAGAGAAGGTGAAGTGAATGAAACATGTACACAAGTGATAGTAGTTATCTTCTGTCAAATTTGAAGGTCCCCATCAGCTTTATGCTTGATTGCCCAAATATTCTATTCCCTGGGGGAATTGAGTGGCACCCATTTGCTTGGTGCACATCTATTTGGTTTTAAACTTTCCATACATTCAGAGGACAACTTAGATATTTGGTTGCAGGAGGTTAGGGAGGAATTTCTCTGATCACACACTTACAGATTTTTTATGCTAAAATTTTATAAATACTACTTTTTGTT